TGGGGGTGATGCTGGGAGCACCGGCGGCACCAGAGATAAGTTAAGGGAGAGGATTTGTCCCAAATAACTTCCTGACAGAATTAGCAATAAATGAATGGATGCCCTGTGGGTGCCAGGCTCCCGCCCTGAAGTGGAGCGAGGCCGAATGGTGTGGACAGGGCGCTGGGGGAGACGTTCTGCACTGGATGCGAGGCCAAAGGTCCTGCCACATCCTAGAGACTCTGAACTCAGGAAGCATCTGCTCGCTGCCAGCCATTAGCTAACCTACATCATCGGGTGGCAGCTGCCCCTTCCCCTGCGAGAGGTGCCACCCTGGGTTATTAAAATGAAGATCCCAGAGCCAGAGACACCTCCCCAGACCTCCCCGTTAGCCTGCGAGAGGCAGGATTTGATCAGAGGTCTAACCCCAAGGCCGCTGGCCTCATGCACAGGCACAAAGGCTTGAAGAAACCAGAGGCCAGAGGGTCATTGGGAATGTGTATGTGTGTGCGCGCGCATGTGTCTGCATGCGGGTGTGAGTGTGTATGTGTGTGCGCGTGCATGTGTCTGCGTGCGCGTGTGAGAGTGTGTGTGTGTGCGCGGGCGTGTGTGCTCACATGTATGTGTAGGATGTGAATAACTTTACTGAATTACATCGCAACGGTTAACCGGCAGTTGGGTTGGTTTTCATGTGGCCATTAGGGTAAATTATGTTTACACATATGGATATAGAAAATGATTAGGAACATTTTATTTGACAGGCAGTGGTTCAATAATTGCTTTATTTCTGTTGCTTACAAACGCTTTGTAAATACTTAGAAATGTGTGTGAATGAATCGCATTATGCCCCCCTCATTACTCATTACTAGAAGTGCCTTAGCCTGAGTTTCTTCCTTTATCTATTTATTTAATCTTCACCTGAGGACTGTTTAGAGAGAGGGAAGGAGAGAGAGAGAGAGAGAGAGAGAGAGAGAGAGAGAGAGATTGATTGGTTGCCTTCTGTACACTCCCTGACTGGGGGTCAGACCCACAACCCAGGCATGTGCCTTACCCAGGAATCAAACTGGCAGCCGTTCAGCGCTTGGTCAGTGCTCAACCAACTGAGCCGCTCGGACCAGGCTGAGCCGGGCTTCCTTTAAATAATGGAGGGAGGTGGGTTACCTGTACCGAAAATGTCACCGTTAGAAGCATGACTTGAGAGAATATTACTTAGATGACAGGAAAAGTCCACAGCACTTAAGTCTGTGAAGTGCACTACAACCAGAATGTTAAGGCTGGCACGGGGACCGGGATATTCCAGGGAGAGGCTGGAACAGCTCGGGCAAAAACTCTGAAAACGAAAGTGAAAAGCCCTGGATCGTTTGGCTCAGCGGACAGAGTGTCGGCCTGGGGACCAAAGGGTCCTGGGTTCGATTCTGGTTAAGGGCTGGTACCTTGGTTGCAGGCTCCTCCCCATTCTGGGCCCTTGTCGGGGTGCATGCAGGAGGCAACCAGCCCATGTCTCTCTCTCTCTGTCTTTCCCTCTCTCTTCCACTCTCTCTAAAAATCAATGGGGAAAAATATCCTCGGGTAAGGATTAACAAAAAAAACCCAATAACCCCCAAAAACAAAAAAAATAGTGAAAGTGAAAAGTATGTCAGGAGACTCCACTAACCCCGAAGCAAATTGTTAGTGTGTGGGAGCACTGGAAGATGAGTCTAATGTGATAACTTGATATCTGATTGGAGAAGGTCTTGAATGCCCAGGTGAGGACTCTGGCTGTAATAGAAATAGGGAGCCATTGGAGGTTTTGGAGCAGTGGAATTCCAGCAAAGGAAGAGTAATCTGATACAAGTATGGAGGGGTCTTTAAATGGAGAAGATAGAAAAAAAGAATAAAACCAAAACAAATGGAGAAGATAGCACAGGCAGGGACAGGAATGAGAGGCTACTCATTAGTTTGTACAAGAAGTAATTCATTACCCAATTAATATTCACTCTAACCCTATGATGTAAGTACTCTCTACATTATGCAGACAAGATAACTAAGGTTTAGTGAGGATAATTAACTTCCCCAAGTTAATTAGGGACATTGTGGTGAGCCTGGGATTCAAACCTAAGTGTGGCTGGCTCCAAAGCTCTGTTCTCTGTCAATTGCACATACGGAATAACTGCATAAACGTGAAGATACATAGAACGAAGAGGGGAGTGATAGCAATTCATGTGGGCAGTGTTCAGGACCAAGTACATACTTTTCAGGGCCCAGTGCTAAAGTAAGATTAAGAATTTCAAGACGATGAGAGCAGAGCATTAGACTAAGCACAGGGCCCTTCCTAGAACAGGCCATACACTCATGAAACCAGTTCTGATTACTGTGATGCCCTGGCCGGTTTTCTCAGTGGTTAGAACGTCAACCCACAGACCAAAGTGTCTCGGGTTCAATTTCTGGTCAAGGGCACGTACCTCTGTACCTCTGTTGCAGGTTCATCCCTGCCCTGGTCATGTGGGAGGCAACCAATCCATGTGTCTCTCTCACATTGATGTTTCTCTCTCTCTCCCTCCTCCTTCCCTCCTTCTCTCTCTAAAAGTCAATGGAAAAAATATCCTCAGGTGAGGATTAAAACAAAAATGACTGTGATAACCCTAGCTGGTTTGGCTCAGTGGATAGAGCATTGGCCTGTGGACTGAAGGGTCCCAGGTTCGATTCCAGTCAAGGGCTCAATCCCCAGTAGGAGGCGTGCAGGAGGCAGCTGGTCAAGGATTCTTTCTCATCATTGATGTTTCTGATTCTCTCTCCCTCCCTTCCTCTTGGAAATCAATAAAGAAATATTTTTTAAAAATTACTGTGACAATTTAACAGATTACCTCAGACCTTAGTGGCTGAACACAAGAACATTGCCTTTGCTCACAGTGTGCAGTCTGGGCAGGGCGTGGAAACAAGTGCATTTCTGCTGCATTCTGTGTTGTCTGAGGCAGCTTGAAGGCCGGGGGTTGGGATCACCTGAAGGTTTGCTCTCTCACCTGTGTGGTCGTGGGGCTGGGAGGGTGTGAGCAGCTGGGGTCCCGAATGGCTGGGGCTCCTCAGGCATCTCTGTTTCTTTACTTGGCCTTTTCAGCATGGTGGCCTCAGGGCCGCCAGACCTCTGCCATGGTGGCTCAGGGCCACCGGACCTCAGCCATGGTGGCCTCAGGGCCGCCAGACCTCAGCCATGGTGGCCTCAGGGCTCCCAGGTGCATATCTACATGTCATTAATTCTCACATCATCGGTGTCTAATCTGTGTAACTCACTCACTGTATTTTTTAAAATCCATCTTGCCTTTATATTTGCATACGTTATAGTTGGTTCATCTTCACATCTACTTGGCCATTTTTATGTTCTTATTCCTTTCTCAGAGTTGAAAGCTTCTCTTTAATTTCTTAAAACGTATTAAACATTCTTTATGTTATGTGTGTGAGAATTGTAATGTCTTTAGTTTTCACAACTCTGGCTTTGCCTGCTGTTGTTTGCCTGGCTCTTATTCACAGTGTCTTATTTCCTCGTATGTTTATGACTTTTGACTGTGAGTTCATGCTCCTTGAACCTTTACCTGTGAGCTTCTTCGAGCCCTGGATTGGCGTTGTGTTCCTTCAGTAGTGGACATTTTCTTCTCTCAGTCAACGGGGGCACAGTCAACCAGGGACCACTTCAAAATAAATGATCTGCTTAGGGTTTTGAGCCACAGGGGTAGCATTAATTTCGCCTCGAACCCGCATTAGCGCAGGCTTATCACACATTCTCAGGGAGGATGTTTTTGAGAGCTGAGCTGTGGGGATCTCCTGTTAGCTTCCTCACCTTGCATGGTCCAGGCTTTCTCTCTGGTCTCCTCTTTTGCATGAAGCACTCACACTGATAGCTCTAGTTCACCGGGGTTGGGTTTGGCCAAAACTCTTAAGGCAAAGGCGACTACAAGCTCACTTTTCCTCGAGATGACTGGTTTTACTGCTTCTGTACTGAGAATTTCTTACTTTCTTGCCAACTCATCACATTTGAAAAGACACTTTCTGTTTTTGCCCAACTCTGGAGTTACTTTCACTGGGACGTTTACCAGCAGACTTCCAGACATGAGGCTCTAGTCCACTCTTCTACCAGGAGGTGTCCACGGTGGTGGGACCTCCGAGGGTCCCCAGTTACTCAGAGGATCTCAGTTCCAGCTGCCTCCCTTGCAGGGGCCCAAGACCTTATGTTCTCTCCTGGTTTTCATGGCAATAGTTTTGCCCAACTCTGGAGTTACTTTCACTGGGACATTTACCAGCAGACTTCCAGACATGAGGCTCAGATATTTCTCTAGTCCACTCTTCTACCAGGGGGTGTCCACAGTGGTGGGACCTCCGAGGGTCCCCAGTTACTCAGAGGATCTCAGTTCCAGCTGCCTCCCTTGCAGGGGCCCAAGACCTTATGTTCTCTCCTGGTTTTCATGGCAATAG